AAGGAGACACGGGGCCAGAGGTTGAGCTGATGCGCAGCGTACCGGACCGCAAACGGCCACAGAAAATGGGGAGCAGCCGCATGGATCATGGAGGTACGAGCGACCTCCATGACTAAGCCAATGCGGCGCTCAGCAATCCCATTTTGCTTAGGGGAGCCCGGAAGCGTGAACGACTGGAGAATGCCCTCCCCACGACAAAAGTCTTGCAAGAGGTTGGAGGAGAACTCACCACCTCTGTCAGAGTGCAGACGCAGGACAGGAAGGTCTTGGCCGAACCGCTCGCGGAGTTGGAGACGGACTGTGCGGATCCAAGGGATCAAGACATCAACGACCTGACCCTTGCTGCGCAAGGGGAAGACCGTGGTGTACCGTGTGTAGTCGTCAACAACCAGCAGGAAGTAGCGCTCGCGGCTCTGTCCATTGACGCGGGCTGGGCGCCACACGCCCATGTGGAGAGTTTGCAGGGGAGCAATCGTCGGGGGAGACGAGGAAGAGTGAGGAGCGGCACGCTGCCGCCCCTTGATGCAAGGAAGGCAGGGCGGGGCAGGCGAGGGCGGGAGGGGAGGCAGAGACCTGGGTAGACCAGAGACAAGAAGACGAGAGTGCATGCCACGAAGGCGTGGCAGGGAGGGGTGACCCAGGCGGTGGTGCCACAGAAGAGTCTGGTGTGACAGGAGGCGACACGAGCAAGAGGCGGCTACCTGACCTGACGCGGACACCTGAGCAGACGCAGCTACCTGAGAAGGCTCGGTAGCGAGTGTGTACAGACTCGACCCTGGCCGACGAGTGAACGTGGCCAGGTGACGCCCCGTCCGTGTGCACGTGCAGATCGACACACGCTGACCCCTAGAAGTGGTGGTAGTGACCATTGCATCCTGGAGGGCAGCGGTACTCACCAAGTTTGTAGAGAACGAGGGGAGGTGAAGACCTGTCAGTGAGCCAGACGGAACCGCCGAACACGGGAGGACAGTGGAGGAACGGGCCACGACCGGGCCCCCGGAGGGGTCAGCTAGTCTGATTGGGACAGGTGCAGGGAGAGGAGTGAGGGTGGTGCTATCACGAAAGAAACAGCGCGAGGCGCCTGAGTCCAACGTGAAGGTGTGCAAGGCCTTAGCAGGCGCAGTACCAGGGGGAGTACCAGACTCACTAGCACCTAGAGCAGCAGCGGCTATATCTGGGTCAAGCGGCACACACCGGTAACAGTCACCCTCAGCACTAACAGACAAAGCATACATAACAAAAAGAGTAGCATCAAAGTCTAGGTCAAAGATAGCAACTTTAGACCTAACGAGATCTGCCCAGCGAGGGAGGTCGACGTCGTCACCAAACTCAGCACGCCAAGCGTCGTCGAGGTGGGAGAAGTAGCGGTGCTGAGTGTGAAGCCGCCCGCATGTCTGACCAGCACGGTCACTCGTGGGAATGACATATGGGCAGCTGACACTACCCCCAGACGCCCCACGCTGCAAAAACCACTCACGAAGCTGCTGGGGCGACTTGGTCTCACTCTGACGCTGCTGCTGCTTACGCTGGCCACCTCCAGTACCACCACGCCGAGCGCCAGGCCCACCGCCACCAGTCCCACCGCCGCCACTGCCGCCACTCACACCGCCGCCTCCACCGCCGCCACCAACTCCCCCACTCGCGCCACCACTCCAACCGCTGTCACCACCTCCACTGCTTCCACTACCTCAACCGCTGCCCCCACCACCACTTCCGCTGCCCCCTCCACCACCCCTGCTACCCTTGCCCTTGCCGCTGCGGCGCTTTGCACTAGCAGAAGCAGCTCCGACGTCCTCAGCACCAGGGACGTCTGCAGCAGCGGCATAGGCGTAGGAAGGGGCAAGGGGGGAGGGGGAGCATCCCTCAAAGAAGGGCGGGCGCGGAGTGCCACGAGCAGCACCTACAGCAACTGCACTAGTCTCAGCTGCAAGGAGGTGCTGTTCTAGTAGGTCAACGGTGAGGGAGGTGGGGTCAAGGGAGAGAAAGTGGTCCCTGACAGACCGAAGAGAGTCAGGGAGGCGAGTGACTAAGAAGTAGAGGGTGATGAACATCGGGGGCTGGTTCCTGTCAAGGTAGCGAGGTAGCGAGGTAGCGAGCGTCACTAGTGCGCAGGTGGGAAACAAGGTCCTCTACCGTGGCAAAGGCGGACAGCTCGGGGAACAGGTAGGGCAGAAGCAGGCGGCCTAGAGCAATAATGGCAGGCGAGGAGTAGCGAGCGACTACAGCGTCGTACAGTGCCTGTTCTGTCCTTGAAGTGAGCGCATTCGGCTAACGGCAGATGGTTGCGAATGGCTAAGCGGGCAGCAGCGTCGCGAGTAAGCCACTGTGAGTGAGTCGCACTGTCAGCTGTGGCGAGAGGGGCAGTAGCGGCGCTTGGCGCTAGGTCAAATAGCGAAACACTGTCCTTAGAATCGCTCAGTAGGTACAGGTGCAGGTCGTCGAGCCACGTGTCAAACTGAACCGGTCTGCCCTCATGATCGAACGCGAACACCTTAAGCGAAGCCATAGTTGCGCAGCATGCAGGAGCTGCAGTAGCAGCAGGAGCAGCAGCAGTAGCAGTAGTAGCAGTAGCAGCAGTAGCAGTAGCAGTAGCAGCAGTAGCAGTAGCAAGGGCCGAGGGGCCGGGGGCCTAGGGACGTCGGGCCACGGGGCCAGGTACAAAGAGGGCCGTGAGGGGCCGAGGGGCCAAGGGGCCGAGGGGCCTTGGGGCCGAGGTGTCGGGGGCCTAGGGGCCGAGGCTAGGGGCGACGAGGCCGCGGCTAGGGGCGACGGGGCCGAGGGGCCGAGGTAGGGGCGTTGGGGCGACGGGTCGCGAGGGGCCATGGCTAGGGGCGACGGGGCGATGGGAGGACGGGTCGCGAGGGGCCGAGGCTAGGGGCGACGGGGCATCGGGGCCGCGGCTAGGGGCGACGGGTCGCGAGGGGCCGAGGCTAGGGGTGACGGGGCCGCGGTTAGGGGCGACGGGTCGCGAGGGGCCGAGGCTAGGGGCGACGGGACGACGGGTCGCGAGGGGCCGCGGCTAGGTGCGATGGGGCGACGGGTCGCGAGGGGCCGCGGGGCCGAGGCTAGGGGCGACGGGGCTGCGGTTAGGGGCGACGGGGCCGAGGGGCCGAGGCTAGGTGCGACGTGGCCGAGGGGCCGAGGCTAGGGGCGGCAGGGCGACGTGGCCGCGGGGCCTGGGCCTAGGTTAGGGGGGGGCGGGCCTACGGGTCGCGAGGGGCCGAGACTAGGGGCGACGGGGCCGCGGCTAGGGGCGACGGGGTCGAGGGGCCGAGGCTAGGGGCGGCGTGTCGCGAGGGGCCACGGGGCCGAGGCTAGGGGCGACGGGGCCGAGGCTAGGGGCGACGGGGCCACGGCTAGGGGCGACGGGGCGACGGGTCGCGAGGGGTCGCGGCTAGGGGCGACGGGGCCGAGGGGGCCGCGGCTAGGGGCGACGGGGCGAGGGGCCGAGGCTAGGGCCTAGGGGCGACTTGGCCGCGGCTAGGGGCGACGGGCGACGAGGGGCCGGGCTAGGGGCGACGGGCGACGCCAAGGGGCGACGGGCCTAAGGGCGACGGGCCGGGCTAGGAGCGGCGACGGGTCGGGGCCTAGGGGGCCTACGGGTCGCGAGGGTGGCTAGCAGGGCAGCAGATGGTGGGCCCAAAAAACGGTCCTAGAAGGGACCTGCTCTGATACCATGTCAGAATGATGAACGAGAATGAATGAACTAGCAAAGAGTTGGGTACAAGTTCTAACCCTAATTGGGTTGTACCCTTTATGAGTACACTACAGCCTACACCATGTAAGCTATATATAAGTTTGACACCATGCTCACATGGGTTTGCACACTTACGAGATAGGGGAATGGATCCTATTCCCTTGATCGTCAGGTACTGGAAGACGGACAACTTGAGAAGTACTTACAGGTCTCTCATTCCATATTCGTGTATGAAACCCATGTGAGCATGGAAACCGTTATTGCTGAAACCCAGCCAGTTGAGGAGGTAGTTTGTGATGCCCCTGTTTTTGTGCAGAGAGGAGCAGGGCGGCCACCATCAAACTGAAGGCGTGAAGCACCAAAGCGGACATACAAGTGTGGCGATTGTGGGTCGACTCAGCATACCAGGAAGAAGTGTAAGGGGAAATAAGGGGGGTCAGGGGTGTATCATGTAGCGAGTGGAATGGGGAGCGAATGATTGTTGACTGTTGACTAATAAATAACTATGTTAATGAATATGGTAGGTTGGATGCTCTTTACTACTAGGTGAATATGGGCGACCTTTTGCCATTAGACGACTTGTGGAAGATATAAAATACCACATATGAACGTCATAAACAAAACTGCCCTGAACCAGTAATAAACATACGCGCAAATGACCGGTCATATACCGACGCGTATATGTCCAGTCATATACTCACGCGCATACGACCGGTCATATACCCATGCGCATATGTCTGGTCATATACTCATGCGCATATGACCAATAAAAAACCGACGCGCATAGGAACTATTGCTCTTAATACCATGTTAAGAAGCTAGAGTAAATTAGGGTGAGGAGCCATGGCTTGAGTGGCTAGACATGAGTGTCGAGAGAGTGAGGTCGATTAGGTGAGGAGGGGGGGGGTACAAGAGTGTCGAGTAAATCTAGTTGTACCCTCTAGGGATAACCCCTACACAACCTAGAAACATATAAACATATAATTGTTTTGACACAACCCCATAGGTGAAGGAGGGGATGACCAAACCGAACAGCAGTCACACGACTGTTAGAATGCTAAGCTGCTGCAGCTATGTCACCCACCACCCACATCCCCTGAGCCTCCCCACCACTTCACACTCCCCCCCACAGCAGCAGGTGCGGCTGTGAGAGAGAGGAGGCAGGTTGGCACTGGAGGTGCAACCTCCCCCTCACACCCTCCCCTCCCCTCCCCTCCCCTCACCCCAACTGCTGCACGTGCAGCAGGGAGAGGGAGGAGAAAAGGGGGGGAGGGGGGGGGGGGGAGCGGGGTAGGGGCTGCGCATGGGGCTGCAGATGCGCGTGCAGAGGGCAGCAGGGCGCACGGGGCGCACAAGACAGCAGGGCGCGCGTGGCGTGCAAGGCTGTAGGGCGCGCGGGGCGCGCAGGACAGCAGAAAGGGCTGTAGCACCCGCAGCAAGGACTGTAGCGGCAGCAGCAAGGGCTGTAGCGGCAGCAGCAAGGGCTGTAGCGGCAGCAGCAGGGGATGTAGCGGCAGCAGCAAGGGCTGTAGCGGCAGCAGCAAGGGCTGTAGCGGCAACAGCAAAGGGCTGTAGCGGCAGCAGCAAGGGCTGTAGCGGCAACAGCAAGGGCTGTAGCGGCAGCAGCAGGGCAGCAGGGCAGCAGAGCGCGTGGGGAGCAGCAGGGCGGCAGGACGCGCGGGGCGCGCAGGGCATGCAGGGCAGCAGGAAAGCAAGGCGCGCGGGGCGCGCAGGGCTGCAGGGCGCGCGGGGCGCACAGGGCAGCAGGGCAGCAGGCCGCACAGGGCTGCAGGGCAGCAGGGCGCACAGGGCTGCAGGGCAGCAGGGCGCGCGGGGCGCGCAGGGCTGCAGGGCGCGCAGGGCTGCAGGGCAGCAGGGCGCACAGGGCAGCAGGACAGCAGGGCGCGCGGGGCGCGCAGGGCTGCAGGGCGCGCGGGGCGCACAGGGCAGCAGGGCAGCAGGGCGCACAGGGCTGCAGGGCAGCAGGGCGCACAGGGCTGCAGGGCAGCAGGGCGCGCGGGGCGCGCAGGGCTGCAGGGCGCACAGGGCGCGCAGGGCAGCAGGACAGCAGGGCGCGCGGGGCGCAGTAAGGCCGCAGAGCGCGCGGGGCGCACAGGGCAGCAGGGCGCACAGGGCTGCAGGGCAGCAGGGCGCGCAGGGTACACAGGGCAGCAGGGCGCACAAGGCTGCAGGGAAGCAGGGCGCGCAGGGCTGCAGATCCCCTCCTGCCTCCCCCTGAACCTCCAAGTCCCCCACTGGGGGGGGGGGCTGGTGCTGCAGATCCCCTCCCCCCCACTGCTGCACCCGCAGCAGGGGGAGGTAGGAGAAGGGGGGGGGGGGGGGGGGGGGGCTGGTGCTGCAGATCCCCTCCCCCCCCACTGCTGCACCCGCAGCAGGGGGGAGGTAGGAGAAGGGGCGGTGCAGGAGCCGCTCGGGCGACAGCAGGTTGGCCACCCCGCCACCCCCATACCCTCCCCCCACTGCTGCACTCGCAGCAGAGAGACAGAGGAGAAGGGGGGGGGGGCTGGAGCTGCAGATCCCCTCCCCCCCACTGCCGCACCCGCAGCAGGGGGATGGAGGAGAAAGGGAGGGGGGGGGGGCAGGGGGGGGGGGGGGGCGGTGCAGGAGCCGCTCGGGCGACAGCAGGTTGGCCACACCCGCCACCCCCATACCCTCCCCCCCACTGCTGGACCCGCAGCAGAGAAATGGAGGAGAAGGGGGGGCGGGGGGGGGGGGGCTGGCTGGTGCTGCAGGTCCCCTCCCCCCACTGCCGCATCTGCAGCAGGGGGATGGCAGATCGCTTCCCCCCCACTGCTGCACCCGCAGCAGGGGGAGGTAGGAGAAGGATGAGGGGGGGGGGAGGGGGGGGGGGGGGTCGGTGCTGCAGATCCCCTCCCCCCTTCTGCTGCACCCGCAGCAGGGGGAGGTAGGAGAAGGGTGGGGGGCCTGGTGCTGCAGATCCCCTCCTGCCTCCCCCTGAACCTCCAAGCTCCCCCCCTCTCCCAACACAAGGTGCGGCAGGGAGAGAGTGAGGAGGAGGCGTGGCGGCAGCTGCTGCTGCTGAGGCATATCCGCTACTTCCTCACACCCTCTCCCCGCCATCCCCATGGAGGGGGGGGAGGGGGGGGGAAGGGGGGGAAGGGGGCGGGGACGGAGCTGCGCATGCGACTGTAGGGCACGCGGGCAGGAGGAACCCCCTCTTGCCACCCCCCACCACGTTGCAACAGGGCACCGGGGCCGTGGTTAGGGGCGGCAGGTCGCGAGGGGCCATGGCTAGGGGCGACGGGGCCATGGCTAGGGACGGGGCCGGGCGCTGGGCAAGTACGGGGCCGGGTGCTGGGCTAGGGACGGGGCCGGATGCTGGGCAGGTATGGGGCCGGGCGTTGGGCAGGTACGGGGCCGGGCGCTGGGCAGGTACGGGGCCGGGCGCTGGGCAGGTATGGGGCCGGGCGCTGGGCAGGTACGGGGCCGCGCGCTGGGCAGGTACGGGGCCGGACGCTGGGCGCGAAACGGGGCCGGGCGCGGGCTAGGTACTGGGCCGGGCGCGGGCTAGGTACAGGGTCGGGCGCGGGGCTAGGTACGGGGCCGGGGCGCGGGCTAAGTACGGGGCCGGGCGCGGGCGTGATACGGGCTGGGCGCGGGCTAGGTACGGGGCCAGGCACTGGCGACAGACGGGGCCGGGCGCGGGCTAGGTACGGGCCAGATGCGGGGCTAGGAACGGGCCGGTCGCGGGCGAGGTACGGGGCCAGGCGCTGGCGAGGGACTGGGCCGTTCGCGGGGCTAGGTACGGGCCGGGCGCGGGCGAGAGACGGGGCCGGGCGCAGGCGTAAGACGTGGCCGGGCGCGGGCTAGGTACGGGCCTGTCGCGGGCTAGGTACGGGCCGGGCGCGGGGCTAGGAATGGGCCGATCGCGGGCTAGGTACGGGCCGGGCGCCGGCGCAAGACGGGGCCGGGCGCGGGCTAGGTACGGGCCGATCGCGGGCTAGGTACGGGCCGGGCGCGGGCGACGGAATCGACGGGGCCAGCGGGGCCGAGGGGCCGAGCTAGGGGCGACGGGGCCAAGCGGCCGAGCCTAGGGGCTAGGGGCGACGCCAAGGGGCGACGGGCTGGGGCCTAGGCTAGCAGGGCATTAGGTGGTGGGCCCATTGATGTGAGGTCCTAGGAACTATTGCTCTTAATACCATGTTAAAAAGCTAGAGTAAATTAGGGTGAGGAGCCATGGCTTGAGTGGCTAGACATGAGTGTCGAGAGAGTGAGGTCGATTAGGTGAGGAGGGGGGGGTACAAGAGTGTCGAGTAAATCTAGTTGTACCCTCTAGGGATAACCCCTACACAACCTAGAAACATATAAACATATAACTGTTTTGACACTAACTTTTGTTAGCCATGTATAATGTGTCTTACAAATCTTTACAACAACCAAGACAAATCCATATAACACACCTGTATGGAGCCCTAATTGGTCACCGAACAAGAACTTCGTTGGAATTAACCGTGGTAATAATAAACCATACTTGTATGCACGGAGTGTGTGTGTGAGGGTTGCAAACCAGGATTGCAACAACAAATGCTAGCACTAATTCAACCTGTTGGTGTAATGCAAAAACAAATGCTAGCACTAATTCAACCTGTCGGTGTAACAAATATGACCGGACCATACATGTATTTCATATAATGCATAATGTTCCAGAGGTGTTGCTGCCACTTATTCGAGTTGGCTAACACATGCATTTCAGCAGATGGACCCTTAAAAAATAGGGTGTAATATCATGGGATTAATCGTCGTAACCAGAAAACCAGGGGTGCTACTGTGAGAACAAGTGACAAGAATGGTTGACTAGGAAGAAAGGAAGGGTACAAGTAGAATGTCGAGAGAAATTGTGTACCCCCTAAGGCTAAACCCACTACAGCCTAGAGAAATGTACACACATATGTTTGACACACCCCCATAGGCAAAGTGGGGGATAGCAAGAGCAAGCAATGGTCACAAGACCAGTCAAGAGAAGAAGCAAAGCAAAGCAAGCTCAGGGTGGATCACAAAGTCACCACACAGTCCGAGCACAAGCAAAGGGCCACAAGGCCAGTTCACATGCAGAGATATATAAAAAGAACAATTAATACAGTGATCATACCCTAGCAAGTGCAAGCATGCAGGTATATATATAGATCACAGTACAGTCAGAGTCAGGCAGTAAGCATGTGAGGCAAAGTAGGCACAAGGCCTAACACAGTAACAAAGAGCTGATGATCACCAGGCGGAAGTGCCTTGGTGAAGACGTCAGCAGTGTTGGCCCGAGTGGCCACGTACGCAAGACGAAGCTGACCACGCTGCTGCAACTCTCGAGCAAGGAAGTATCGCAGAGCGATGTGCTTCGTTCTGTGCTCCAGTCTGTGCTCCTAACACAATGCTATCATGGCTTTGTTGTCTACGTACAGGACTGGAGGCGAACGAGGCTGCTCTCCCAAGTCAGTCAGCAAGTAGGTGAGCCAGCGTAGCTCCTGAGCAGCCATGGCTCCGGCGTAGATCTCAGCCTCACAACTGGAGCTGAGAACTGAAGACGAGCGGGTAGACCGCCAAGAAACCGAGCCGGACCCAAGGCTGAAGGTGTAACCCTATGACGACCTCTGTGTAGCTGAGTCGTCAACACAGGAGGCGTCTGCATGACCAGTGAGGACAACTGGACCCCGTCCTCCAAGCACAAGCCCCATGCCCGACGTACTGCACAAGTAACGCAGTACCCTCTTCGCAGCATCCCAGTGCACCTTTCGGTGCCTACCGGGAGCCACGTAGCGAGCCAGAAGGCTGAGAGGGTACGCGAGGTCAGGTCGTGTGCAAGTCATCAGGTACATGAGGCAACCCACAAGCTCTGGGTACGGACCACTCGGCTCTACGGACTCGTCCGAAGGTGGAGCTGAGAGCGAGTGACTGGTAGACAGAGGAGTGAGCTGTGGCGAGGAGTACTGGAAGCCGAAGCGCTGAAGGACCTGGTGCACCATGTGTGACTGAGTCAGTGTGATGGTGCGTCGTGCTCTGTCCCGGGTGCTCTGCAGGCCAAGATAGCTGCGCAGTTCACCTAGGTCAGTGCAGGTATGTCTCTTCTGCAGCTCGGACTTCACAAGGGTCAGTGCCTCAGTGTCAGCCGTGGCAAAGACGAGGTCGTCAACGTACACTAGGACATAGAACGGCGGCAGCGAGGTGTCGGTGCGTAGAAACAGCGACGGGTCTGCTGTAGAAGGAGCAAACCCAAGAGCCGCAAGTGTAGTCCTGAGTGTGTCGTGCCACTCGCGAGGCGCCTGGCGGAGACCGTAGACTGGCCGGCGGAGGCTCCACTGAGTACCTGCAGGAAACATCCCAGTGAAACCAGGTGGTCGGCGCAGCCAGATCTCCTCGTGCAGGCTGCCCTGCAGGAAGGCTGTACTGAAGTCCAGGAAGTGTAACTCGTAGTCACGCTGAGCAGCTACGTGTAGCAACACCCGAAGAGTATTCATCTTCGGGGTGGGGGAGAAGGTCTGGAAGTAGTCAACTCCCTGTCGCTGGCTGAAGCCTCGAGCAACGTAACGCGCCTTGAAGGCAGGTGGAGAACCCGGCGGCCGCTTCACCTTGAAAATCCACATGCCATCGACTATGTTCGCCCCAGGTTGGGGAACCTCGTCGACGTAGGTGCCTGTGGACTTTTAGGATGCCATTTCGGCATCCATAGCTGCCTGCCACTGAGAGGAGTAAGGACCCGTAATCGCCTCTGCGTAAGAGCGCGGGGTCGGGATGTCTGGAGCATCCGGGTCTCCCTCAGGGGCAAGCAACAAGGAAGCGAAACGAGGTACAGCAGCTGCAAGACACTCAAAGTCCTCCTGCCTGTCCTCAAGGATGTCCGTGCCAAGAGCACACTCACCCCCGACGGATGGAGGACTGGCAGGTATGGACTCAGCATTTAGAGCAGAGGCGTAGTCGAGACGGCAAGCAGCAGCAAAGTCAAGCAGCTCAGCAACGAGAGCAGAAGAAGCAGCAGACTCAAAGGACGGGTCAGTGACAGCAGTGGCAAGGAGACGAGCGACAGTGGGACTGGCAGCACGCGCTCGGTCAGACTCAGGGTCAGGGGCCTCAGGAAGAGAGGACTCAGGAGGAGCAGGCAGAGGAACACGCAGTGGAACAGAGGAAGGACGGAGTGCCATAGTGTGAGTGTCTGGGACAGGAGGAGGACGCAAACGAGGAGCACCACGAGCAGTGCGAACAGGCGAGACAGGACAAGACGCAGGCTCACGACGCTCTGTAAGACCTCCGGACTGCTCAGTGTAAGGAGAGGGAACAGGCAGTGGGGAGGCTGGCTGTAGCGGCTGCTGCGACTGGTCAGGCGGTGGACACAGGAAGGGAGGAGGAAGACCAGTAGAAGACGGGACACCAAGAACCTGCTGAAGTAGGGGAACGAAGTACGGACCCGGCCGCACAGTGCCTCTAGCACCTCCAGCTCCAGGGTCAACAGCTCCAGCTCCTGCAGCTCCAGCGCCTCCTGCGCAAGGGCCTCCAACTCCAGCTACACCAGCTCCAGTGCCTCCGGCGCCAGCTGCTCCAGGCTCCGTAGGGTCTTCAGCTCCAGTAGTAATAGCAGCACCTCCAGCTCCAGTGTCTCCAGGCTCGCCAGCTCCGGGAGCTCCACTCCGACGGTGTGCGCGCTGAACAAGCCACTCACGCAGCTGCTGCGAGGACAGTCGCGTTGAAGCACCAGCAGGACCTCCAGACGAAGCAGCACCCCGAGGCTCAGCACCCCCAGACTCCGCACCCTCCGACTCAGCACCCCCAGGCTCCGCACCCTCCGACTCAGCACCCCCAGGCTCAACACCCTCAGGCTCAGCACCCCCAGACCCAGCACCCTCAGACCCCGCACCCCCCGGCTCCGCACCCCCAGACGCAGCACCTGGAGCAGCACCTGAGACGACAGCTACCTGAACAAACGCAGTACCAGGGAGAGGGTCGACTTGAGACACTCCCGAGGGAGCAGGACCCTGGGGCTGGAGGGGGTCTACCGGAGGTGGACCGGGAGCAAGGAAGAGCAGCGGGGGCGGGGGAGGGGCAGAGCAGTAGGGGAAGAGACGGTAGAAGGCAACCGACTCGTCGAACGTGACGTCCTGAGACGGGAGGACACGGCGCGAGGTGGGGTGGTAAAACTGCCAGCCAGGCGCGTCAGGGACAAAGCCAAGGAAGACGCAGGGAATGGCGCGGGTCCGCGGACGTATCGCGAACAAAGGCACGAGAACCCCAGACCCGGAACACCGACGCATCGCCAACCTTTCCCGTCCAATGCAGTGTGGGCGAGGTCTTCGGCAAGGAGACACGGGGCCAGAGGTTGAGCTGGTGCGCAGCGTACCGGACCGCAAACGGCCACAGAAAATGGGGAGCACCCGCATGGATCATGGAGGTACGAGCGACCTCCATGACTAAGCCAATGCGACGCTCAGCAATCCCATTTTGCTGAGGGGAGTCTGGAAGCGTGAATGTCTGGGTGATGCCCTCCCCACGACAAAAGTCCCGCAAGAGG